TGAGGTTTTGACTTTCAAATAGCTTTTACTTAATCTGGTTTTTTTTTGTGAAATAATTAGTCAAGGAGTGGTTGTGTTTAAACTAATCTGCCACTCACATGATGGTGGTGCAGACCTGCAATCCTGACGCTAGTGTTCTTTTATTGCTGCCTCCATTTGTCCTGAAAGGCAGGTCTCATAGGTGGGAGGGACACCCAAATAGTGCATGTTCAAGACACAGTTCAGAAAACTGGGTTTTGCTGTTCATTTGGTGTTAACAACTATTAGCCTATTAGGAAGTATTTCTTTCAATCTTGCATATTGAAACGCAAAAAACAATGCTCACAAATCAAACTTTTTTGCTATAAATATTTCACTGATTTATGAAAAAACAACAGACCTGCAAATCATCAGCCAATTATACAATTACACTACTTAACCTTGTGACAGCACTACAGTATTTTTACCATTAATTACCATTTTGTTGACCTTTTCTTTTTGAACATTCCACAAAGGTTTCTGTCACTTGCTGTCAGCATTTGCATCGCAGCTACTAAAAAATACATCAGATGTTGGAATTAATGACTGTTTGATTCAATACTCATGTCCAGAAATATTAATTGCATGCAGTGGTAAAATGCATGACGCATAAAATCTATTATAACTCTTAATATAATGAATCACACTTAGAATTTGTTATTCCCTGCTTTGGGTTTTTTGTTCATTTGTGAAATCCGATTTCTGAGCAAGACCAATTTGTCATATTAAGTCAATATTAAGAAAGGTTAGGAGCTTATATTCACATGAATTTAAGGTTTTCTTACAATTGTGTTCAAACATTTTTATTGATTTGTGTACCAAATATAGCTTTATTTTGGATATCTGACCCAGAATACAATCCATCAGCCCTAACCTGTTTTAACAAAGCAGCCAAGGGTTGGATTGGCCCACATTCAATCCAGGACTGAGTCAGCAAAATAGCCACTAAAATATTGTAGACAGTAAAACACAGAATAAGATAAAATTGCACAGGCAAACAAAAGTCTGTTCTCTTTCAATAAAATTGTTTCCCCACTCTTGCAGAGAGTGTTTTGCATTAACTGCGGATCAATTTAAGTCAACAAACATGAAAGGCAACACGTCACATCAAGACTCATACACCACAAAGACTCTGTCCATCACTCATTGAGCCTACTCTATCTGCAAATGAACAAGAGAGCCTCGCCATTCAATAAGCATGTTAATATCTGAACATCTAATAGCACTAGAAGCGGCTGCATTGTGTTGCGGCTGCTCATGCATTTGCAAATCTCAATAGCTCGCATCTATTGATGTACAACGGAGAAATGCAAATCAGTTCAGCAACCCTCAGCAGCATCAGCAGAACAGCTAGAGCTCCTAGAAAGATTTTTTTTCTCTGTATTTTCTTTGGAGGTGAGTGGAAGTCATATGACTGTGGAATGTAATCAGCGAGGCCATTCAATACTGCTGCCATGATTACTGCCAGACGGAGGCCTCGCTGCCAGCGAGTCAGAGGGCAGCCCATCCAAGAATACCTCCTCCAGCATCCACAAGATGAATTCCTTTGGAGATGCCATCTGTTTGTCTATCGCCCAAGTCCTACGAGCACAGGTTAGATCAAGCTATTACAACAAGCCTTTCCTCATTCGTAACATATGAAGGAAAGGCGTTGATGTTGATCAGTTTGATTGTTACTCTTCCATGTCATTGTCCCAGTCTGGCTTTGTCAGGGGTGTTCATGATGCTGCAATTTAGGTTTTTCTACTGGGTAGGGCCACTGGAATTGATTTCGATCGGGGGATTCTGTGAAAATTATTTTTGTTTTTTGGGGCAAAAGACCTATAAACCTATAAGCCTATTAAAAATACAATAAATAAAAGTAGCAAATAGATTAGGATTCAATATTTTATTTTTGTATATACTTCAGTGCACGCAACCAGGGTCTGTAACACACAGACACCATTAATCACCTCAATCATTCATCAGTTCTCAGGTGAATATATGCGCTATTAATTAAACTTCATAATAAAAAGTTTTCAGTGGGTTTATGTCAATTTTTAAAAGCCGGCATTCACGAAGAAGTTGTCTTTCTTAACTTTATCTCTAGGTATGACTGTCTTCTGACTGCTTTCAAACAAACAAAACACAAAATATGATCAGTCTCTTCTACATAATGCATAAAACATTTCATTACCAAAACGCGGTGCAGGAAAATTGAAAATGCATGTTGGCTGGAAGGGCTTGTCTAATCCAATCATGCTAGGTTGTTTTGCAGGTGCTGGGACTGTGCCCGCTGTTGCAACTGCCGCGGACATTCTCCTCACTCTGGCTGCTCTCCGTTGTCGTGGTTGCAGTATTAGTGTTCTTCTTCACTGGTGGTTGTTTTCCAAAAAAAATCCGAAATGCGTTTCTGTGCCATATTTCCTCCTCGTTTCCGTTTCTCAATTCACTAGAACGCGAGTACAGACTTGTGTCCTCACCAAGTACGTTCTTGAGAAGAACACTTCGATCTTGTGTTGATTAGGTCTCGAAATAATTTCATCGAAACAGATATTTCCCAAAATATTGATAAGAAATTTATAAAATGTGCAAAGTATTTTTAAAATATTTCTAAAAAATAATAAAAAAGTATCCCTCTCGCCACTAGGAGGGGCTGCAGCACCCCCAGCAAACCCACTTCCCACGTCTATGACACTGAAACTAAACTGAGCCATATTGATTCATGCAAAGGTCTCAATTTTTACTTGTTTCAGGTACATTTTATAACCACTTGGTATTTCACTCATCATTTAACTTGACGAAATGTGCCTTTATGACTTTATTACATGTAATCTATCTAATCCGGAGATATTTCAGATTTCTCATCCTTCTAAAATGTCTTTATAAGATGTAGCAGGCTTAAAATTGGATGAAAGCCCAAAAAAGGTCAAAATACAGGTTTTAAAGAGTTATGTATATAAAACAAATACGATTCATATTCTATAAGCATATATATGGATAATTATCCTCATGATACTAAACAAAAATAAAATATTATTGTTGCATATTGGTTTAGTTTCTAGTTGGATGTTGTCCATGTAGTATGGTGGAAGTGAGTGGGCACTTATCTCCAGCAGTCACTGGGCATGAGGTACGCTGCAGCCTGGCCAGGTCACCAGTTAAACAACAGCACAGAAACACACAGGGTGGACCATGTACACACACACACACACTGATTGAAGGGACATTTGACAGTACTATTGACCAAACATGTATTTGGAATGGGAGGAAGTCAGATTACCTATAGAGAGCCTTGGCATGCACAAGTAGAACATTCAGAGTCTATGAACAAAGACAAGTGCCGCTGAGCACAAAATGAAAAACAATAAGCATTGTCTTCATTGATAAATAGAAAAAGCTTTACTTCTTCTTTAACAAAATAGGACTTTTTCAATATAACAGAAATAAAAATGCTATTTATGATGAATGTGGTTTACCGGCTCTAATAACTAGCTGATATTACCTGGTTAATTACACCTGCAATCTGCACGTTGTGCCACAGGCAGCTGTTCAACAGACATGCTCCTCATATATCTTGTTGGCTGTGGTTTTAAAACAGTAATAAATACGACCAACTGGCCACATGTTTGTTTTTTGTTTTGTTTTTTTATGAGGGGGGAATGATTTTTAGCCTTCCTTTAGCCAGTGAACCTTTAGCCATCAGTGAACAACTGTTATATAAATGGTAAATTGTGTTTTTTCAAGCCATAGAGTCGGTGTGATTAAACTGCTTGTAGTTTTGAAGCTCTGACTTTCAAAAACCTCTGCAAAACAGAACCTATGCTTAGTTTAAGGATCCTTGGCAACACAGACATAGGAAGGAACAAAAAGGCAATGCAGAGGCAGAAGGTGGGAGGTGCAAATTGGTTAATTGAGCCTGTCCTTATCCAGATGCAATGTATTCATAAACAGAAGCACATGATAAAAAAGATAATAAGTGGTCAGTTTATTAGCAGCGTTATCATTTATCGCATTTTCTGCTTGGTCCAACCGGTAGAATATAATCCATCAGTTCACAGCAACTGCTTTCCCGATCCTCTGGAGCAAAATATTTCTCCAGCTAATGGTTACATTGGTACATCATGGTTTAAGTTAGCAATAGGCTGCAATGAGATTTCCACAGTAAACAACCTTGAATCTAAATACTCTTATGGTCCAGATTTGCTGCATGTTGTGTTGGTTTCAGCTGTTTTACAACCATAATGACTATTTAATGAGCATAAACGGTGGGGGTGTCATTGCAGGCATTATAAGCACAGTAAATCTGTACACAAGTCTTTATCAGATAAAGTTAATGGAAATCTAGCAGGGTGGGGCTTCTGAAACTTACCTTATCAAGTTCTTGATTAATCAACACCAGGGGACAATAGAGAGATAAAAGCCTCATTGAGGAGCTGCAGAGCCTCCACTGTATTGTTTTGCAGCAAAAGCAGAACTACAACTAGAAATACATTTAAATGATTGACCAGAGACATGAGACTGCAGGAGTACATTGGAAATATTTAAGATGAAATCATTTGTTTTGATGTTTTTCCCCCCAAAAAAATCCAATCAGAGTTTAATCTCTAAATCTGTCACGCTGCCTTTCCTTTTGTTGGATTTTTCTTTCTTTTTTTCCTTCTTTTTTCTCATCTATGCTGGGCCTCTAAATGAGAACCCAGTGGTCAGATCAGACTGCCAGCTATTCACATGACAGCCGCATCCTCAATCATCTGCCTGGGCATTTGGAAGAGTCTAGTTCATTGTCTCACAGATGGACCTAATTGATTCTTCAAGCGTGCCGCGAATGTTGGTAGAGAAGCAAATAAATAATAATAATAATAATAATAATAATAATAATAATAATAATAATAATAATAAAGGAAAGGTAATGAAACGGAGATAGTTGTGGTAAAGCAGTGAGATGCGCTGAGATCGGATGATGAAAACCAGTCCGGGCGCATCAATCAACGCTCACCTACCGGATGGTTTTGGGGCTGCCGCTCTTCCTCTTTCTTTCTATCAGTGTTTCTCTCTGCTGGATCAGACAAAGTCCCTGGATTTTCCTCCACAATCAGGTGCGAGCACCCTCTCGCCTTCGTTGTATTCCCATATGTGTCCGCCGCCGCAGCTGTGAAGGCTCCAGTGGATGAGTGACTGGATCCAGCCCCTTCCTTCCCTCCTTCCCTCTCTCTCCCTCTGTCTCCCTCCGCCTGATTATCTCCCCGCTGCGGCACTGGCTGCACCGTAATACGGAGGAATCAAACCCGCCGAACTTGTTCTGGGGTCTGTGGTGGTAATTAGTCAGCGGACCCAGTCCCTGCTCCCTCACTCCTGCAGGCTGGGAGAAATGCGCTGTGGCTCCTATGCGCTATTTGCGCTGAATACATTGGCCCCGGAACTGGTTTTATTCTCTGAAAGAGAGAGAAAAAGAAAAGAAAAAAGGTCTTTATTGTTTCAGCTGAGACTGGTGAAGGATGAAGAGAAGGAAAAAAGGAGGCTGCTTTCTATCTATCTATCTATCTATCTATCTATCTATCTATCTATCTATCTATCTATCTATCTATCTATCTATCTATCTA